AAGTTATTGGGCGGACAAGCTTTTTGAAGTCAAGGCCCCTGTGACCTTGACCTTTGACCTGGTGACCTCAAAGTCAATAGGGGTCATCTACTAATCATGACTAGCCTCCATGCCAAATGTGAAGACTGTGGGTCAAAGGAATCTTAAGTTATTGGTCAGACAAGCTTTTTGAAGTCAATGCCCCTGTGACCTTGACCTTTGACCTGGTGACCTCAGAGTCAATAGGGGTCATCTACTTATCATGACTAACCTCAATGCCAAATATGAAGACTATGGGTCAAAGGAATCTTAAGTTATAGGGCGGACAAGCTTTTTGAAGTCAAGGCCCCTATGACCTTGACCTTTGACCTGGTGACCTAAAAATCAATAGGGGTCATCTACTGATCATGACTAACCTCAATGCCAAATATGAAGACTGTGGGTCAAAGGAATCTTAAGTTATTGGGCGGACAAGCTTTTTGAAGTCAAGGCCCCTGTGACCTTGACCTTTGACCTGGTGACCTCAAAATCAATAGGGGTCATCTACTAATCACGACTTACCTCCATGCCAAATATGAAGACTGTAGGTCAAAGGAATCTTATGTTATTGGGCGGACAAGCTTTTTGAAGTCAAGGCCCCTGTGACCTTGACCTTTGACCTGGTGACCTCAAAATCAATAAGGGACATCTACTAATCATGACTAACCTCCATGCCAAATATGACGACTGTAGGTCAAAGGAATCTTAAGTTATTGGGCGGACAAGCTTTTTGAAGTCAAGGCCCCTGTGACCTTGACCTTTGACCTAGTGACCTCAAAATCAATAGGGGTCATCTACTAATCATGACTAACCTTCATGCCAAATATGAAGACTAAGGGTCAAAGGAATCTTAAGTTATTGGGCGGACAAGAAAAAACCGACAGACGGCCGGACAGCCGGACGGACGGACAAGCTGATTCCAGTATACCCCCCTTACAACTTTGTTGTGCGGGGGTATAAAAATAAAACATAATAAATGAAATCACAATATAAGAGTGGAGAAACAAAATACCTGAAATGGTACTTACTACTATACATTGTAATATTTTTCCCCTTCTGACTGAGGGGTTGTCTTTAATGGTTGAGGCATCAGTATTACAGCCACTATTTATCCCTGTGTGATCATACAAGGCAACTAAATGGATTCGAATTACTGGAGTCTACGCCTCTCTTAACTCAAGCAGATGAGGTGGTTTTGACCTCTGGAGTTCCGCAGCCTCACTCTAAAAATCAGCTGTGGTTTGAGATTCTAATTGAACTGAGCCAGCTGTTATTTACTTTCATATGTTTTCAAAAATTATAATCAAGAACTGCTGTACTTAAATAAAACACATGCAATAATAATGTATAAAACAAGTCATTTAGTAATACATTAACGTTATTCAGTTACATCAGTTAATAAAAAGCAAGATGATGATAATGACCATTACAATCAATTAATCTTACATGTCTTATTAAAGATAATATTTCAGGTAATTAAACAACTGTAAAATTTCCTTAATTACTAATACCATAATAATGTGAACAAAGGAAACATTATTATAAATTTGTGTTTATAATTTAAACATTTGGAATATCAAAATATCTTAAATAGGTATGGTTCCTGTCATATCAATTGTAAACAAGAAATGTTTGTATAACATGTATGCTCTCCTACCGGCAGCCAATTAGTCATGTGGCAAGGTCATTGTGACTTTGACTTTTGACCTAGTGACTTCAAAATCAATAGATGTAATCTACTGGTGATGACCAGTCACTAGGTTATTGTGACCCTAAAGGTTGTGTGCAGCAATTTTATGACAAAGTTATAACAAAATGTACTAAATAATATATTCAAGAGATGTTTGTCCGATTGGTTGTCAAGTTATTGGTCGGAAACAATTTTGACATACAAGGTCAATTTGATCTTGACATTTGACCCAGCAACATCAAAATCAAAAGGGGTCCTAAACAGGCCAAGATGTGACCTTGTGACCAACAATGTGACCTTGATCTTTGATCCCTTGGCCCAAAAATCGATAGGGTTATCTTCTGGCCCAGACCAATGTCAGGTTGAAGGGCCAATAAAAAGCCATTGGTTGTCAAGTTATTGGTTGGAAACCTTTTTGACATACAAGGTCAATATGACTGACCCAATATTAAATGGGGGCCATGTTCTGGCCAAGACCAATGCAGCTGTGAAGTTCATAGGCACAGGCAGCTGTGAAGTTCATAGGCACAGGCATTTTTAAGATATTGAAGGGTTTGGTCTATTGACCAACCAACTGACAAGTGCAAAACAATATACGCCCACTTCTTTGAAGGAGGCATTAAAAAGTGTAAATGTTATTAAAGAAATGTATACATGTATTAAAAAAAAACATACAAAAAATCTTAAAATGTCACAGTCCTGTCAAGTATTTAAATATGAATACAATATATAACGGGAATATGTGACAGTCATTCAACAAAAACTTCAAAAACCCTATGACATATTTTGAGACTTGTTGGAACACCTTCCAGTTTATAGAACTAAAGATAACATTTGAGGCCAAAACATTTTATCCCATTTATACCCATGTGGAATTAATTTCCAGATACCGAGTTTTAACAGTAATGGTGTTGAATATTTTTGAAAACTATTGAAATTCACTTGGGGTATTTGGGATAAAATCTATTAAACTCACATTTCTCAAAATATGTGATGGGGGTTCAGTATATAAATCATAAACAGATCTTGTAAGCATGTATAAAAATATCTCGTAACAAATCTCTGACCAAAATTTAAAAATGATAAAGATAGTGAAATATCAGGAGATGTAAAAAATAAAATACTCCACATCCTTAAATAAGAGCATAGCATTATTGCTTGAAGGGTTTATGCCTCTTGTCTAAAAACTGTCTGTGTTGTCATGATAATAAATAAACAAAGCTGCCTGTTGATACTGTGATAGTTCTCAAATCATTTTACAAATAAGCACAAAATTCTTAGTTAAGAAGGGACATAACTCTGTAAATAAAGCTTTTAGAATAATATCTCTTGTCTTGCATATGTGCTTTTGCATGATAGACAATTGCAAGTGTTCCAAGTCTCATGTTCATACCTTTCATAGTTTTGAAATCTTCTAGTTTATAAGCTATTTTGACTTACAAATTTAAGGTTAAAAGGGACATTACTCTAAAAATATTATATTGCTTTCAGAATAATGCCCCTTGTCTCACAACTTTGCCAAGGTTCTTGTTGATACCTTTTAACATTTTACAAATCATTCTTACCTGTTTAATAAGGTATATATAGCAGGCTATAATTAAAAGATAATAGTAATATTTAATTTAGTGTCAAAATATAAAGAATTTTTACTTTTTTGTATTATTTTCCTCTGTATATTATACTAGAAGCATCAGATGAATTAACATTTGTGCTAATAAATAGATGGATTTATAACAAAATGGCTTGATCAGGGTTCGTACAGACATCCAGTATCAAAATTCAAGGACTTTTTAAGCACTTTTTAAGCATGTTTTTCCATTTTTCAAGCACAATTTGTTGCGTGTCTATCCTACACAATGTTTAACCAGTATTAATTTATAAGTCATTTTTTGTTGAAAACACATTTTCTGGCTACAGTACACTTTAACAGTTCCTATAGAATAACAAGAAAGATACTGAACTGCCACCCTGTTTTATGGCCCCCTGTTAAAACCCTAACTTCAATATATCACGCTCTTTTGTAGGTTTTCCGTTTCTTTTAAATATAAATACTATAACATGATAATATGATATATATCTACATTAGTAAATTGTCTTACAAAAATAATGTCAATATTCATTGAATGGTTAAGTAAAAATCATTAGCACTATACAAAATCGCAGTGAGTGGGGTATTGCGATGATCTTGCGATGAGGGCTACATATCAGAATCTGGCTAAATTCTGTGTTGAAACCTTGGAACACAACATGAGCATTATAGAGGGGTTGAAGTGAAGTTCAAATTAACTGCAATTTGTGTCTGTTACATTGAGCAAACATTGATTTTGGTACTGAACAAGATCTTTTTTTATTGGTTTTTTTTGGTAACTGTTGATTTTTACTGACACTTTTCTGTCATTCAATCATTTTCAAGCACATTTGTAGCGAATTTAAGCACTTTTTAAGCACTTTTCAAGAGAATAATCAAATTCAAGGACTTTTAAGCACTTTTTATCATTTTTAAGCACTTTTTAAGAAAGGGACTGAAATTTAAGCACTTTTTAAGACTGTACGAACCCTGTTGATTCATAATGAGAGGTACATTGTACTTTTTGTACGTTTTTTTGTTGTTTTTTTTTGTTAGAGAGGGGCATTATTTGTTATTTTTTAACATTAATTCAAGTATATTAAATTGAACACATGAATTAATGAAGGAAAATCAAACCCTGTAACTATGTTAAAAAGGTATTGATTTGCTATATGAACCGAACCATGACAAAACCAACATAATGGGTTTGCGACCAGCATGATCCAGACCAGCCTGCGCATCCGCGCAGTCTGATCAGGATCCATGCTGTTCGCTTACCAACCCTATTACTAGTAGAGAAACTGATAGCGAACAGCATGGATCCTGATCAGACTGCGCGGATGTGCAGGCTGGTCTGGATCCATGCTGGTCACAAACGCACTTTGTTGGTTTTGTCGTGACGCGGCTCATATTGTTGTAAGAGTATTGAACATAAAATACGAGTACATGTATAATGTGTACACCTGAATATAATTCTACCAAAATATTCATGTCACAACTAAGTATGAATGACATCATTTTTACTATCTTATGAATTCCTTCTTAATATTTCTGTATTTGATTAAAATTAAATGTTTAAATCTAGCAAAGGTTTTAATTAGCTAAATATGTCTAAGACTGGACAAAAACTGCAATTTTGAGTGTTTAAACTGTAATACTAGGTTTTCAAAATCAAAGTTCATAATACACAAATTCATAGGAAATCCTGTTCAAATGTTTGTGGTCTTCCCTTTCCTTTAACCTGACCCACCACTATGTTTCTTGTAAAGAGCTGTTATGTCATTCTTGAAGAAACTGCGTAGCTGTGGGCGCTTGTTTTTAAACGTAGGTGTTAACAGTCCATTTTCAATAGAAAATAGTTCTGATCGCAAAATGATATCTTTAGTCTGAAAATAAATAATAAAATAATTCATATTTTCTGTGTTTCAGAGAATATAATTATAATGTGGACTATTTTACACTTGATTCACATGATTTATTAAAGGTGCATGCAGCCTCCAGATGAGCCAAAATATTTCAATAAAATCAAACTTGAGAAAAATGTACTAAGATTTAAGAAAAAGTAAAAAGGTTAAAGATTCAAGAAATAATTTACATGTTATGTGTGATTAAAAACTGATTTTCCAATATTTTAACTGTATTTTTATTGCGCGGTAAGGGCTATCTTTGCATAATTTTGACCTCCTTTTGGTAATTTATGTTGGTTAATTGTTAGTGTCAAAAGTAATGTGTCAATTGCTTTCTTTTTGATTATTTCATAATATTTTACTTTAAAAATATTAAATTAATACATTTTCAAAAATTTTCATAATTTTTTTATGAATCTGGAGGACTGGTGTGCTGCTGTAATTATTTGCCATTGAAACTCAATGCAGACAAAATGAAACATAAAGTAACCTTGAAAATACAGCATACTACTGGTTTACACTGTGACTTTAAACCCAACCATCTCTAATTAACTCAAAGTAAATCAAGAAAAAAGGCAAATTACCAATTTCAAATATAACATAAAGAAAACAATATGTTACCATGGTAACTTACAATTTCAAATCCTTTGAGACCAGCTTCTCTAGCAGTTTTCTGTATGTCCAGTAGCATCATTGATTTAACACTCTAGATTAAAACATAAAACATTACTTTTGTGAACATTTTACACTTAAACATCCTTATCATAAATACTCTCTCAATAACACCAATCAGTGTAATCACCAGTAAAAGTTATACCAATAAAATAAAATTGTTTTATTTGAGAAAATAACTTACATTGTTTTATTTGAATTTTCAACGTTATATTTTTACCAATTTCTCCACATAAATTATATGATTTATAGCAGTGTAGAGTGTGTATTACGCAAAGCAAAAAACAATATGATTACCTTTGTCAACAACTAATTTACCTTAGAAATATGAAATGTATGTATAATACTGGTAGCAGAAAATCTTACCTCACTTTTGCACAGTTCCTGGAAACTATCAGAAAGATTTTGAGAATTTGCCCATGAGATTAAAACTTCTTCATCAGGTACAATCACTGCCATTACATATGGCTGTAAGAAAGTAAAATATAAATGAGAGTAAACAATAATAATATTAGTTTGTTTTGATAACTCCTTAATCCGTTGGCCTATGTCACATACAGGTATTTTTGGAAACCTATGAAACTACTTTCAGCCACTTTGAACAAACCGGCATCACTGGTGTTATAATAAAATTGCATAAGATTTATTAAATGTTACTTTGCTTGACATTTCTTAAATGTTACTTTGCTTGACATTTCTTAAATGTTGAATTGCTTGACATTTCTTAAATGTTACATTGCTTGACATTTCTTAAATGTTAAATTGCTTGACATTTCTTAAATGTTCCCTTGATTGACATTTCTTAAATTTTAAATTGCTTGAAATTTGTTAAATGTTACATTGCTTGACATTTCTTAAATGTACATTGTTTGACATTTCTGTTATGTTAAATTGCTTGCCATTTCTGAAATGTTACATTGCTTGACATTTCTTGAATGTTAAATTGCTTGACATTTCTTTTATGTTAAAATTCATGTCAATGTGTTTTTTATCCATGCAATAGCCAAACTTCATTACATCACATGTGTATATATTCCAGAATTTGCATGCTAGCCTATAAAAATATCCTGCCTATATAGTCTTTATTTTCATTGTTCAGCAGTTCAACAAACTTTAAGATAAATATTGAAATAAAAATATAGATAAAATAAAATAAAAATATTACAAATGAAAACTTACTTTTTCATGTCCTCAGTCTTTTGCTATGGTTTAGTTTTCAAAGTCACTATAATTACATACAATAATCGTTAAACTGTAAATGAATAATATACAATACCTGAAGACTATCACCTTCTACAAAAGCTTGAGCCACAAATGAACTCCGGCTATAAACAAGTTCTACTTTCTCTGGGGCCACATACTCTCCCTGTCAATAAAATAACACAAATATATTATGAAAAATGAATGCCAGTCCGAATAGCTCAATCAGTTAGAGCATGAGACTTGTAATATCAACATTGTGGGTTTGATTGTTGGGCTGGCCAACTAAAATTACTTATCAGTCTTTCCCATGAGACTTTAAATAGGGGTCCTGCGTATGAGATCTTAAACACTTAGCATCTTAAAAAACCCGGGGAAGCTTCTGGAATTGGGGCATCTTTCTGTATCTTGCACTATCCTCCTGACTTATTACTTATCTGGAGGACACTTGCCAATTATGGGCAAGTGGTGGCGAGTATAAACAAGCAATTATCATAGTATTGCAAGCAATCCCCTACCGGTTAGAACCCCAGCAACATTCTGATGGGCCATTTGCCATTCAATTTTACCAGTGAATGAATGACATGAATGAACTTAAATCTTTTGAGTTTTAAGTTTGTCTATATCACAGTAATGTGTTAAGTTTCCATGCCTAGTAAGGAAATTATGTTTATACAACCTTTTCATATTATTACGATGCGGGATTTTAAAGTAAATCCTATAAGGAATGAAGAAGTTGTAGTGAAAATACCAGTTTCTCGAAAAAAATCTAAGTTCAAGGGGGACATAATTCTGGAAATAGTCTTGCTAGAGTATTTAACCTTCTCAAAAATGTCGAGTGATAATAAGAAACATATATATGAAGTTTGAAGTAGATACATTAGGAAATAAAGAAGTTATTTAAAAAAGACAACATCTTTTTCCCCTAAAAAATCTAAGTTCAAGGGAGGTAATACTGATAATTTTTGTGCTAGAGTTATAAACCTTGTCACATATGATGTGGTTGATGACCAGAAACTTAAATTTAAAGTTTGAAGTAAACACCTTAAGAAATAAAGAACATATAGTGAAAAAGCTGAAAAATTTAAATCAGAAATCTTGAAATTCAGGCTATTTGTTGCCATAGCTACCAGAATTTTCAACATAGGAAGAAAAGAAAAAGATGTGCATAATCTCCAGACTGCCATCTACCCATATTTCAAGTTTCATAAAAATATTTTCAGTACTTTTTGAGTTATCACTGGATCCAGTTTATGTGTTAAATTTGCCATATTTTTAGACTATTTGTTGCCATAACAACCAGAATTTTCAACATAGGAAGAAAAAAAAAAGACGTGCATAATCTCCATACTGCCATCTATCCATATATCAAGTTTCATAAAAATATTTTCAGTACTTTTTACGTTATCGCGGGATCCAGTTTTGTGGACGGACGGACTGACAGACAGACGGCCAGACGGACAGACAGACGGACGGAGGGTAAACCTAAAGTCCCCTCCGATTAAACCGGTAGGGGACTAATAAACTGAAATACACAATGAGAAATGAAGATGCCTTAACACTGATTTGTTTAAATGCATCATGCTCTAGCTATTGTTGGAGTACAAATTAACGAGAAAATGGAAAACCAAAATGGCCATCAAGAACATATATGTATAACCTAATAAAATCACCATTTTTCATACATTAAGGCTTTTATTTACATAAAAAAAATTCAAATTTATGCTAAGATAATGAAAAATGGAGAAAAAAAATAAATCAAAATGCTTAACTTAAACATGGGACTTTATTGTCCAGATTTCAAAATGGAAAAATGCCAATTTAGGGTAACTTTAGAGACTACCACTTGTTGTTTTGGTCAGTAATACAATTATTTTAGCAATTGTGTTATCTATCCTTCTCACAGCTCAGTGCTGGAAGTACATATTTAACCACAGTTAAGTCAGTGGAGCTGTAATTTTACATCATGATGGCCATATTTTACCTTCTTTTTTCTTTTGGTTGCTGAATTTGTTTTCAAAAAGACAAAACCTTTAGAATATGTATCATACATTATGATGCAGATCTTTTATTTATAAACCTGTAACTTCTACTACAATGACAAAAGAAACTTGCTTTAAGTGAATTATATTACATTTTAAATACTCTTACCTGTGACAACTTGAACAGATTTTTCTTCCTGTCAATAATTTTTAATGTACCATTCTGAAAGGTTAAACAGGTTATGTTACATATGAGGAACATTATCTGAATTTATTAAAACATAAATGTCAATAAGAATGAAAATACTTTAATAATGCATATATTCATATTTTTATACCTCTACTACAAGCTCAGATGTCATATGATTTTGGAAATTGGTAAATAACAAACCTTAGTAACCAACAAAAACAGCGTAATATACTAGTTATTTTTTGACAAAGATATAACATAGAAACTAACAGGTAACCATTGTCCAATATCTCCTGTATGAAGCCATCCCTCCTTATCAATAGTTTCTGCTGTTTTTACTGGGTCTTTATAATATCCACTTGAGATAGTGACTCCTTTAGCACACACCTGGTGAAATATAAATAACATAGAGCACATAATGACTTGATAAAATATTTAAAAAAAAGAATACATAATTATCCACATAATAATCACTTACAATGTATTTGATAAAATATATGTAACACATATTGCACATACAATGTGTTTGATAAAAAATCATTAACACATAATAATTATATTATGCGATTAACACACATCTGACAGGATTGTAAATTATAGATAATTATTATAATATATACCTGTTGAAATTTAATTAAAGAATGTGGATCTAGTTCATACCTGACAAAACCTAATACAACAGATCATTCAGCTGACATCTATTGCTAGGTAATGACCGTAACGTCCAAATTAAATTTTCAATGCAGAAGTGGGACAATGGAACCAGAGTCATTTTTGACTTCAGGATCATGATTCATGTAACTCTATCCTTACCCTGGTAAGTCTTTTTAGCTCACTGCAACCTACTTTGCAACTTTATGTTATAACTTAACTACCCTAGAAGGCTAGAACTAACTGCAGTCATAATGAAAATTACCTCCCTTCATCTTCTTGAGTTATCATATGACTTACCTCCCCTTATTTCTAAATTTTCATAATATCACTAACTTTACCTTGCTTATAATAAGCTAAAATATTATAAGTCTTATCCCCCCCCACCTTTGTTATAATTAGGTCAGATGATTTACCTCTTCTTGATTACTTTTTTCAAAATTTTGATGTCACTTACTACCCCTTGGTTATAATATTCTATATGTAAGATATCAAATGACTTATCCCCCCTTTGCTATAATTAGCTGAAATATCACAAGACTAACCTCCCCTTGGCTATTATTATCTAAATGTAAAATATCACAAGACTTACCTCCCCTCGGTTATAATAACCTTCATGTAAGATATCATATGACTTATCCCCCCTTGGTTATAATAACCTACATGTAAGATATCACAAGACTTACCTCCCCTTGGTTATTTTTAGCGTAGTAATTATATTCAGGAGCATCAAACAGTTTGATGTAGGTGTATGGCAATGGAGGTCCAACATGTCCTGTTGATACAAAATAAAAAATAGAGCTGATAATAAAAAGATGATCAAGAATATCATTCTTACAAAAAAATGTTTTCTTTAATTTAACAGTCATGCAAATATTAAAGGCAAGTTCAAATAATCAGACACAGCTAGAACATAGCTTCAGTGTCTGCTTCTTTAGTGACTGCACTTTTAATTTGACTACACATATTTTTAATAACTTTTGATAGCAAAACAATGCACTTTTTAATGTATCACTGTACAAAATGTTTTTAATAGCCTGAGTTCATTTTAATTTATTTTAATTCTTGAATTTTCGACAGCTTGAAATTTGTTATGATGTTTGTTCTATATCAAAAACATGTGAAATGATTTGGGTAATCTGCAACAAAATATGCTACATCTTTTAAACAGGCTTCCTTGTAATATAAATTTTGGTTATGATGAATTTTAATCCTAATATAATAATATAACTTGTGGTCCACAGTGAAACTAAGAGACCAGTGCATGATTGTAGTGTATAATTATTACCTTTTCAAACAACTGTTAAAACTGCTTTAATTAATATCATGTCATTACAGGCAATTTCATTTAACACTTGCAAACTTTCAAAACGCCAATGGAATTTGAAAATGGTTGAAAGTTTATTGTAAAAAAAAAAATTGGTATGAATCCTTAGATTTTTTGTTGGCATTCTATGTAAAAAGCTTCAGGTATTTCTAGTTTAATTTGTGATTTAAAATAGAATATATTTACCAATGATAGCCATCAATATATATAAATCATCAATAACGTCTTTCATATATACATGTATAGAATACTTATATTGTAAGATATAATTTAATATAGAATTATTTCAATATAGTGAGTTACAATTCACAATTATAGAATTAAAATTACCGGCTACATTCAATAAAATAATACCTGCGCTCCAGTCCCCAACTATTCCCATTGATACCGCCGCTACAGTTTCTGTTTGCCCGTATGCTTCTAGAAACTGTCAAATACACTTGTCATTAATGATAAATAATGTTAAGTTATATAAAGTAAGTCCATTAAATGTATCATTTTGAAAGTAAATATAAAACACACTGACCTGTTATTAAATGAGCCGTGTCATGACAAAACCAACATAATGGGTTTGCGACCAGCATGGATCCAGACCAGCCTGCGCATCCGCACAGTCTGATCAGGATCCATGCTGTTCGCTTTCAGACCCTATAACAAGTAAACAAACAGGCTGGTCTGGATCCATGCTGGTCGCAAACCCATTATGTTGGTTTTGTCATGGCGCGGCTCAAATCTTATTCAATCTTAGCAGGCACAGACTTCTGAAAATGTTCTGTTAATTTTTTCATTAGAAATTGTTGTTGATTTAGAAAAGTTATAATGAGGAAACTTATAAAAAAAAATTTTAATGTAGAAACACACAAGCTGTTCATGTATCAAAAGTGTTCATATCACAACTAATTAAACATTAGAGTGAACACCAAGAGAGCTAGTCTAAACATTGTGGAAATAGATCAGCTCATCATTTATACAGGTACATTTAACTATATATCTTGGGTAAACATGCCAGCAACTTAAAACAGATATCACTTTCTGGCATATCAGACTGGCGTTTCCGTTTTACCAATGCCGTCATTGGGGGAGGGGGAGGGGGGGGGTCACAGGAATTGAATCTCCTGCTATAATGTGAATGAATGGCACGCTTAGGATGAGGTATTATTTTACCGTTATGAATGAAGTTGTAATTTCATACGCTGTTGTAAGAAAATAGTTACAGGTGTAATGACATAAATTTCCATGGAAAATTGTTTTATTAAGGTAAAGAGTTTAAAATATAATGGAATATGGTAGAATATGCAAGAAAAAATATCTGACATAATTATGTTTGCTGTTCGGATCAGAATAACCGTCCCTTGTGGGTGGGCCCACTCGTGATGGATATTCCGATCCGAACCGCAACAAATGACAGATATTATGAGTCTGTACTGGGAGGCAGTAAGTGTAATATTGCTATAATTCTAAATCGTACGTAACATAATAAACATTAAAATCTGAATATTTCTACATACCGCACAACCAAGAGCACATCTAAAGAAAGTTAAAACTTCTGCTTCTAGTGGTGCAGAACCTGTGATAACAATATCAACTTTACCACCAAACAATGCCTGTATCTTCTTAAACACAATCTTGTCCCATATACTGTTACGTCTTATTATATACCTGTTTATGAATTTAAAACAAAAATACTAATTAAGTCTATAAAGCTATTTTAGCATTATATATGCCTCATTTGTCCTTTTTTTCCCTAACTAAATATCACCATTTTTCCCTGTAGTTTCTTAGTGTTATGATAATGAAGATCCATAAAATACATTCATACCTGCACTCTGCTCAATGTATACATATATTTTACTTGCCTTGTTGTACTACATTTGAAACAAAAGATGAACATTATTGGGGGCTGGGACAGGGGGGGGGGATGTAGTGGTAAGACAATATCTCTCAGCTCAATACATATAATTTACATTTACTTGCCTTGTTGTATATTTGGGTCAATGTTTCCTGTAACTAAAGATGAATATATGGGTGTGAGGGGGGGGGGGGTAATTAATTAGTAGATTAATAGACAAAATTACACATCTTGTATTGCAAAAAGAAAACTTACTGTTTCAGTTCCTTAGCCTTGGAAGAAATTGCCCAGTTAAACAGAAACTGTTTCACTTTACTGGCTTTAACTCCTGCCATCACCTGTATTACAGATACAATATTTTTTATCAAAAATGAAAACTGCTGATAAATTTTTTTCAAATATCTGCATTCCTGATGCAAAACAGAATATGTCACTTAATTATCAAAATCTTTGTCTGTCCTTTCATTATTCTACATGTTAGTTTAACAAAACATTTGTTTTTCCCTCAGCAATTATATTGTACACTGAGTACATCAAAATTAAAACTTGGCACAACATTATAACCTTGATTTTAAACATTCTTAAATTATTTTTAATTTATAACACAACCTTATCATAGATTTTGTTTACCAGTCTGGGTACAGACGGACATGCATACAAACCTTATCATAGATTCTGTTCATAAGTCTGGGTACAGAGAAGAAGACAGTTGGTTTTAACGTCTGCAAATCATCTAACAAAAGTTTAACATCCCCACGGAAAAATCCAATCTTAGCTCCCTCCATGGTCAAACACTGTTGACCAATACGTTCATACATGTGAGCTAGAGGAAGGTAAGACAAATGAGTGTCATCTTTATTGAATTTTCTGTAATGCTGAAACCAAGGAAAGATAATAAGGTTAACAAGTATAATTTGAAAAGCGATAAGCTCCATATAAATTTAATTTTAGAATGTATTATTGCATAACATACCCATTAAAGCATTTTACAGTTGGTACATCAAAATACACATATATTAATGTATAACAAAGTCATATGTCACTGTATTGAAAATGTATTAGCATCTGGATTATATAAGCTCAGTCGGTAGTGCCACCGTACAGTATTCCGATGGTTCCTTCCCTGGTTTGAGTCCCAGTCAGGATTGCACACTTTGTGCCCAACAGGAGACCGTGATGGTTTACAGGTTTAAGTTAAAATTTCATATTGGTCTCTTTACTCATTTTAATTCAAGAAAGAATTTTAACATAATGAGGGGAGTATGTCACAGTATTGTACTGTTCACTTATTTAAAGATTGAAAATATGTAAGCAAGCTGATAGCACAGTTAGTACAGTCACAGTGTACCGTATTACAATAATTCCCACCTTGGAGTCCCAGACAGGCTGCACATTTTAAATCTGTATATTTAATCATGTTTTATCTCAGTGGAATTAGTTAATATTTCTCAATGTTGGGTTAACTTCTTCATGACAGTTATACTGCTATAATAGGACAGGGTAAAATTTTAAGTACGGTCAAAATGGTTTATCTCAATAAGCCCGTGCTAGGTGGCATGTGGATGGTAAGTTTGCATTTAACAGTTCTGCCCATCACAGACTCAATCACACTGAGCCTGCATTACATATTGAATTTTGCCATTTTGGAGGATTCTTTATTTCCCTCTATTTTATGTCTACCATCAGGGACATAGGTTAATAATATTAGAATGAATGAAATATTTATTTGCTTTCTAATCAATTCAAATCAAAGAAAATCAAGATTTGTCCATGGCATAGTAAAAACTTACTTAGTTTTATTATGTTAAAATTTAAACTTACAGAGTTATTCATATTAATCATGGATATTTGAGCAAGAGCCTGTCTGTAAGTTATAATCACACCTTTTGGGGTACCTGGAAAAAATGTTCATATATGAAATATGATTTACCTGAAATTTTATAAAATTATGGCTTAAAACAAAACCTGAGTCGGTGTGTATGTATTAAAATAGTGTTACTATAGGAAATAGTCTTGCTTTATAAGCATAAATATTAACTTTAAATGAACAACAAAAAATTGAATTCATAAGCTTCAACACCAGAAAGTTATCTCCTAATGGTATGAATGTGCATTAGTTTTATACAATGTTGAATTTTGTCATCTTTCAATTATTGGGCCTGTATACATATAGTTTATTTATCTTTGAACAAACTTGGTAGACACTCATTAGAACATGTTTCATGCTAAATATCTTAGCTCTAGCTCTTTGGGTTCTTTAAAAGAAGATTTTTTAAGTTTTTACTATATGCATATAGGGAAAATCAATGACCCCCTGGGGCGGGGCCAATTTTGACCCCAGGGCTTTTATTTGAACAAACTTGGTAGACACTCACTAGAAGATGTTTCATGCCAAATATCTAAGCTCTAGCTCTTAGGGTTTTTTAAAAGAAGATATTTAAAGTTTTTTCTTTCGGTTAGTCAGACTAGTAATCTGAGGATTGTTAGCCGCTCGGGTACACACCCCATTAAAGGCAAGCCGTTATTTCCTCGAGCAAGAAACTACACTGACATAGGTTAGTACTGATTGGTTCCAGGAACACATTTAAGAGTGTTTCAATAAGCTTATAGCTTCCACAATCAAACTAAAATAAACATGCATACAGTAAACTTCACTTATATTGAACACGGTTATAGCGAACACTGTTATAGCGAACTTCAGGTTATAGGGAACAATTTATTTTGGCCCGAAATTCTGCCCTTCTTTATTTAATATTAAAATATATGGTTATAGCGAACATGGTTATAAGGAATTATCGCTTATAAGGAACTCATTTCTTAGTCCCAATTTAGTTAAAAGTACAGAAAATTACACTTTTATAACAAACTCCAAAATATTGGCTATCCGTAAATAGACTTTCGTTCTCATTGGCACGGATTAAAACTCGGCCGAATGTACCGTTTATCCTTGTATGTACTTCATTACATCTATTAAAATGAATTTGTATAGTTTTCTATTTAGGATATTTTTAGCATGAGCTCTTTTCACCAAAATAAAACGGTTATTTATTTCTTTTCTTCAATAGTTTTGTAAAATAATTATAATAATTTATAATCGGTTTTCAACTAAATCACGCTTGCTTGCAAGCATGATCCATTGCAAACTGCAAAGTACGCTTGATTTAAATGAAAAAAATCTATATCTTACATAAGTAAAAGTCACCCTTAAATTATGATAGAAGATATTCAATATAAGAGGAAGGAAAAATCGAAAATCTTCTTTATTCTCAATCATGGAAAGAAAATGAATAGAGTTTAGAATCAAAATATTATATTTTATGAGAAATTGACATAGGGAGTAAATATTAAACTGTAATAGCAATTATTTAAATTCCAAAAAGTATGTCTCGGGTAGTGTGTCTAAAATAGAAATAAATGACTAATATTCTTTAATCAAAAGCTCTTCGAAATGGCGGAAAATGGTAAACAATCAGTTCGTTATATGTAAATCTGTTTGCTGTAAAAACTCCTGATACAAGGAAATAATTTGCTATATGCTTACAAGGAACTCCGGATATAAGGAACAGATTTTGAATGTCCCAATGAGTTCGTTATAAGCGGAGTTTACTGTAAACTAATGTGAAATATTGGCAAAATCAAACTTTTATTATAAATCTATCATTGAAATGTTCAGGTAGACATTGTGTCAGTTAATATTTATACCTTGTCACTCTGTCACAAGTTAACAACTTAAACAAGTAATTAACAATCACTCATCCCTACCAACTTCATCTATAAGCACAAACCTACTGGACAAGCAAGTCTTTACTTCAACATTATGATAAATTTTTTAATCCAGTTGCTTGAAACATATTCATGGTGAACATGTTCACATGGTAGCTTCTTAGAGTACAATGATTGTACTACCTGTAATTCATTTCCTGAATTTTGACACAATATTTTAGGTCTTAAGAAAAGAGAAAAAAAACTATAATTATAAAACACTTGTTACATTTCAATTTAATAAAACAAAATACCTGTAGTTCCACTGGTATAACACATTATTGCTATGTCATCAGGACTTGGAGGCTGTGGATAATTAACAAACAATGGTATTTTTATATTGTGTAATATGATATTTATTTATTATGGTATGGATTATGCACATCATTATGTCATTCCGGCTACGCCCTCGTAATATAATTCCTCACATTCAAACTCCAAACAGTGATTTTATTTAGCAATAAAATCACTGTTTGGGATATTTTATTTCTTAAATATTCAACATTTCATTTAAATGAAGTACTTTAAATACAGTTACGTCTACTGGGCCAGAAAAATGCCAAACTCGCTCAAAAATTCCTTATATTTTATCATAACCCCAAACCTAAATCTTTACAATTATCTGAAGAAAAAGAGATAGAAATGCTTTGACCATTAGCATATACATGTAAATATAAACAGAAACAACTGGTATTCAAAATAGTAAGTAGAAAAAGATTTGGTCAAGTGACATTACAATACAGATAGGTTCTTCCTCAAATGAAGATTAAATATACATTTTATATATAATGGCTTTATTAATTGGATTGAAGAGAGTTTAAATGCCAACAAAATCATCATTTCTCTTTATTGAATCAAAGAAGAAAATGTTCTATGTTTTCTTTTTAATAAATCATACTATTCTGAGGCTAATTGTTCAAAACCCTAAATGTAACCGTCTTTTAATTTAACAGGCGTT